TAAATTTTAATTTTGTTCAAGGGTTAAAGTTAAAAAACCCTTCAATTTTAACAACATGCATATGAAAGGTAATAGCTATATTTTAATCTAGCGTTTTGAGAAGAGAAGAAGAACCGGAGAATCGAAGAAATTGGATAGAGAAACAAGTGAAATAAGCAATTTAGCTGATTTTCATTACCATTCTTACATTTGCTTAACTGTTAAGCAACCGCATTACTCACTTATTACTCCCCTCAATCTTAGCCTGGGTTTCGTGGCTAAGATTGTAGCTATGATGAACAAACACTGGACCGTGAAATTCTTGTCAAATTATCCACAACCTACTCTTTTGTATAGGAATATAGTTATAAAAAGATCAACTTTTTGGACCTTTTGTCCAACGAAGTGATAATTTAGAGCGGGAGATTGTCACAATGAAAGATAGGAAGAGATAGAAGGAGATAGGAGGAGAATGAATGAATACATGCAAGTCTTTCAAAATTGATCTTATCTGACATACATCTACAACACAGTGAGTTAATGCCTTATATTCTGCTTTAGTAGAACTCCTAGACACAGATAATTGCTTTTTAGATTGTCAATTAAAAATCACATAACTTGTTGCAAACCTTCATTTGTTAATGTCAGCAACCCAATTAGAGTCTGAATATGCTGAAGTGGTATTATCAAATGAGGATTTATATCTCAAGATTCTACTAACTGGAAAGAAGTGTGCATTTGTAGGTTGATAAATATGTTGACAAAGTGTGACATATCAGGTCTTAAAAATGTTTGATATTGAAGGGCACCCACCAAATTCCTGTAAACTTAGATCCGAGAGAGGAGGTCATTCTGAAACAAGCAATTAAGTATGTGGTTTAGATGAAGTTGGGTGCATGTTTACAGTTCTCCATTCCAGCCTTCTTAAGCAACTCTCTTGCATATTTTGTTTAGTTCACGAACAGATGACCATTGTCTTTGTATTGAATATGAAGACCAAGGAAGTTTGTCAACTGGCCCATATCCTTTAATTTTAAATCAAACAATTCTCCAAGGTTCATGATTATTGATTGAACTAATATGAGCTGTTGATGATGTTTCAGAAAAGAACAGGGTCGGTTGTCTTTTCATTATATCAGCTCAAGTAATTTTGACACATGGCAATCCAATGGCTTATAAGCCACATAATAAGACATCTAATCTAGGAGAAATTTTTCTTTGTGACCGGAATACGGATGGTACACTATGTATTTTTATATAAGTGATGGAAATTTTTATATTTTTAAGTTATTAACTTTTTAACACATATATCTCATAATTTGTACAGTGACACGTGGTGTACCATCCAATGTGACGGTCACACTAAAAATTATCTCCTAATCCACACCTTACATCCGTCCTATTAGACTAAAGTTGAACTTTGATTTACAGCTCAACAATTCAAATACAATGGACCAATAAAAAAAACAATTCAAATACAAAAAATACTTAGAAACTAAGCAAGCACTAAACAATCTATCAATCAACCAACACTTCTATCCGTTTACGTTTCTAAGCATGTAGATTGATAAAATCGACCTAACCGCCCATCCATTAGTCCAAACTACTAGTCTCTAATCTTTTGACCGTACATTTTCTACACCCTTCTATCACCTCGTTTATAAGTAAGTTTTGTGATGCCAATTCCAAACTGAAACGTACTCTATCAGTTGTCACCCTACAATCAATTCCTCACCAAATAGGGCTTGTAAGAATGCCTCACCATCATCCACCAGGACAACCACCGCCTCCTGATCCTTTTGCTCCTCCACCATCAGGTCCGCCACCACCAAGACCACCGCCTCCTGATCCTTTTGCTCCTCCACCACCAGGTCCGCCACCACCAAGACCACCGCCTCCTGATCCTTTTGCTCCTCCACCACCACCAGGAGCTCCTGCTCCACCACCGGGACCTCGCTCTCCACTTCCACCAGGGCCTCCTCCACCGCCAGGGCCACATGGTCGTCCCCCGCCACCTTAATATCACCTCACAGGCTCGCCTCAAACAGTATACTAGTTAGTATTGTTAGCATTATGTATAAGAAATAAAGTGCATGTGTCCATGTAAGCTTCACGAATTATCTGTATGTACACACGATAGGATCAATGCCTACCTTATTTAATTAATTTAAAGGGTTAATTGCACTTTATACTCCAAGGTGTGGAGGTCATTTGTACAATAAGCCACTAAGTTTAATTTTTGCATTTTACACCTTGAGATTTCTGTATTACACTAATTTAACCTCTTTATCAATTTTAACGTTTAATTAAAAGTTAAGTGCTGATGTGGTATAGATTTAACCCACATTTTAAGGACCCGTTGACCTCAACTTTAGCGTGTAGTACTTTACTCTTCTATTGTTTCAATCCTTTTATAATATTAAGAGTCAACAAGTCTTCAAAATATGAGCCCAATATATAGCACATCTAATCATAACGCCTAATTAGAATCTGATTTCTTTATAAATACCATTATAATCCAAAAGCATATACTACAATTAATTAGACCTAATAATTTCTTACACAACATGAAAATAACGGGTTTCAGGTCAACAAGATAACTAATCGAATCATTATCTGATCATCCGTTAAGACCTGTTATATTAATGGGTTCTTAATAGTTTCCACACGGGTAACCACCCGTTTCAACCTCTTAATAATTTTAAACTACTAAAAAAACCTTACTAGCTACTACAATAGCTATAGTACTAAATCTAACGTGAGTGAGATTAAAAATTTCCAATATACATTAAAAATGCAAAGCAATTTAAACATACCAAAGCACATTAAAAATTTCATCAAAATTCAATTACAAGTGTGAAAAATAAAATAAAATATGCAAAACGATCGTAATCGCATCCTCGTCATTTGACTTTTTTAAAACCCTACAAGCCCTCATGAATAGTGTTTTAAAGGGAGTTTAAAATAAATAAAAATTCACAATAATTAATGTACAAGTTGAAAAACTGTGAAAAAAATATATATAAACGCTCGTGGTTGCATCATCTACACTTTGACAATGGTTACATCGTCGTTTAGAATATTAAAACCCTCCAAACCCTCATGAATAGTTTTTTTTGTTTGAGTGCAAAAATAATAATAATTTATGTAGAGGTGTGAAAAATGTAAATAAAAAAAAAATATATATATATATATATATATATATATTATTGCTTGTAATGACAAGTTTTACAACTTTCATGAAGGAGTTAACTCCGAAATCCAACACCATAATTCATAAACCCTGGATTTATATTTTAACCGTCAATTGTTATTTATGCTCTATTCTTCTCACCATATTTCATTTTTCAAATTTTCTTTTTTGAAAACATGATTTAGCTAATGCAGAAAAAATGAACTATTTAGATTGTTAATATCACGTCCCGATGTTTACAGTTTACTGAAATATGAGTCGTGTTACATATATAGTTTCTTGGGACTATATCAATTACGAGCAATATTTTTTCACTAACCGTAAAAATTTGACCATGATATCAACTATTTGAACTGTTCATCTTTCTGCATTTGATAAAAGATCGTATTTTCAAAAAAAAAAAAAAAAAAATGAAAAAACGAAATTCGATGAGAAAATGGAGAGTAAACGAAAACAACAGTCAACGGTTAAATTTAAATCTATGGTTTATAGGATTACAGTGGCGAATTTCGGAGTTGACCTCTTCACAAAAATTGTAGAGCTTGTCACCAAGAACATTTATGTGTGTGTGTGTGTGTGTGTGTCTCTCTCTCTCTCTCTCTCTCTCTCTCTCTATATATATATATATATATTTCACACTTCTACATTCATTAAAAAGTTATTAAAAAACATTATTTCAAAAATAGTTAGCAAGTGTTGGCAAGTGTTATACGACACGACCCGTTAAGATGTCGAGTATGTCACGAAAACAATATAAAAAGAAAATATGACACAAATGACGGATCCACAATTAATCATAGTGATTATGTGTCAACTTTACTAAGTATGTACATGTGTGGAAAAAATCTAGGGGTGGGTGCGGGTTGGTCAAAATTGCAAACCAAAACTGACCAAGTTAGGTCTAAAACCAATCAAATCAGTTAACCGAATGTGGCGGGTTGGTTTGGATTGGTTCTCGGTTTCTATGAAGACAAAAATACATAATAAACTTCTCTTCCAAAAGCTACATAGCATAGCACCAATATGAGTGATTGCTAAGGAAAACACAAATGAAGCAGCCCAATGTTAGCACCAAAGCAACAGCTAAGCTTTTCCAACGATTGATACAATGTAAAACAACAAAGATTGTTGCAATAATGTATAACTGTGAGAGATTTTAGAGAGAGAAAGCATTAGACTTGAGGAAGAATAAAGTATCTTGTATTAAGATAATGATCTTACAGAGAGTACATTTAGCTATATATTGTAATGCCTTATAGACTAAGCTCTCCAAATGGTGCCCATGTTCTTCTCGAAAGGAACTCTTAAACTACTCAAGTTTTGTTTTCATGTGGTGGAAACACGATAACTCGTAAATAACTAACCATTTATATTATTACATGTATTAATTATGATTAAAAAAATAAAATTAAATATAGGCGGGTCGGTTTAGTTAACTGCATCCTTAGAATTTTTAGAACTAATTGTCAAACCGATTACAGTCGGTGCGATTTGGTTTAACCATCGAAAATTTAATAAAATAAAAAATAAATAAACCAAACCAAACCATACCAAACCGTTAGTGCGGTTCTGCGGTGCAATCGGTTTTTTTTTTTTTTTTTTAAATGCCCAGCCCTAGAAAAATCTAATTGAAGGGAACAATGGAACATAACCGAAACGCGTTTTCTGGCTACCAGTCTTCCAACTACCAGTCTTATATGATTGTCTAAAAACTTCTTTCTAGTGAATTAACAAACCGACTGTATATCTTTATATAACTGTCCATTTCTCTCGTCAATTATCTTCGCTTGCAACCAAAATTTCAAAAGAAAATGGCATTCCGTAGGCATCCGCCAGGACCACCACCACCAGATCCATTTGCACCACCACCTCCCCCTCCTCCTCACCACCATGGGCATCCACCAGGTCCACCACCTCCACCGCCGCCTCGGGAATTCTTTCCTCCACCTCCACCTCCCCATCTGGAATTCCATCCTCCACCTCCACCACCAATCCACCACCACCTGTTGAAAATCAATGTCAAAGTTAGGCAAGGAAAGTTAGGCAATGTTAGGTATGGTTGAATAAAAATTATTAGGTGCAATTAATGTGTTTTGTGTGGTAATAAATAATCTTAGTTTAATCATTTGGTTTGCTATAAATACCTAAGTTCTCAAGCATTGTAAATCATCCAAGGAAAAACAAAGCCTAGAGCTAAATAAGAAAAGCTTTGCTAATTAGTTTGTTTTGTGAGCTTTCTTTAAGTGTGTGTTCTATTTTCTTCTTCTTGGGATCATTAGAGTTATCTTGGATACTCTTCTTATTCAACAATTGGTATCAGAGCCAAGTCGGTCAGGGATCGTTCTTGGTAGAGCATTGGTTGTAAAGTCTCTTGAAATTCCGAGTATGCTCTGTGGTTGCAGTTTTGACTGATCTTCCACATCAGAAAAGGTTTCTTGAGATTATTGCTGTGGTTATTACAAACCTTGAGAGGGAGTTTCTTTGTGTCGAGAGTAGTGTATTACTCTGCACGGTAATCACTCAAGCTTGTTCGGTGTAGTCAAAGTCTTGCCGATACGATGGGTGATCTTCAAGTTGTTGGAGGAATCAAGAAGCTCAACAACCAAAACTATAACACGTGGGCAACGTGTATAGAGTCTTACCTTCAAGGTCAAGACTTGTGGGAGGTTGTCGGTGGTAGTGAAGTTACACAACCGGCAGCGGAAGATGCTAACGACGTCTTGCGAAAGTGGAAAATTAAAGCAGGCAAAGCGATGTTTGTTTTAAAGACCACAATTGAAGAAGAAATGTTGGAGCACATTCGGGATGCCAAAACGCCAAAGGAAGCATG